ACAGTGGTTAGTGCTCCATAGGTCAGATCACAAGATACAGGTTCAATTCCTCCAGGGGGTTAATGTGATTCCTCTGACCTAAGTATTTAGGGTAACAAAAGCTGGTAGAATCTGCACGCCATCGGCGTAACCAACTAACCGATGTTTCCTAGTATGAATACTGGTCATACGAAAGATTGTGATCTGGTTGGATGTCCGAAATCGGGTAGGATTATCCTTGACACAACCGCGTTACCAAAATGGTAATAAGAAGAGTAGACCCCAAACCGGTAGCATACCGCTGGTGGACAGAAAAGTTTACGCGACCCGATGGCGGGCGAATCAGAACTGCTGGTAAGCTTCCTGTCCAATCAAGTACGTGGCTGTGCCCTATTTCACAGACTTTACTATCGGGAGGCCTTGGTGGGAGAAGAAATTCGCGGACCACTCCGAAGGACCGAAAACCAGGGTTCAGGATACTGTAATCAACGGCCTGATAATCAGACTACTCTTACTGTAAATAAAAGTGTTCTGGGAAAAATTAAGAAGGATTCGCATATCTTTCTGAGTTTAGGGTAAAAGGGGTAATCGGAGCCTCTTCCTAAATAAAGTAGTGATTATACATAGCATTACGTAGGATAGATATATAGCTACTCATATATAGATAGATCTACTATTAACATATATGTATATCACTTGTTAATGTTGTAACCTCGCAATATAATTAATAAAAGATATGGTAGATAAAAGAAGTAAGAATAGAGGGCATTCGTATAACAATCGACTCACCACACAATCCGATCAACAAGGAGTGGTGGATAAACAAGTAGAAATATCAAACATGCAGCGGAGGCTGGTAAGCAACTGGCTGGATCAGGGAGAAAACATTATTAATTTTAATTTTATTTATTCATACAATAACAACACTGACGGAGCCTTGGCACGTTAGCCTTGACATGTACCAATAGGACAAGTCAATAGCAACAAGCCGATATGGGAGAAATTCGATATAGCCTAATATGCATCTAGAATAGTTTATAGATAGTAACTCTTGTAAAAGAAATACACATGTAAACTAAATAAAGCACGTTAGGCAAGGCCTAGCTAGTTGAAAAAAAAAAAAAAAAAAAAAATTTAAATAAATTATATGAAGCTAACAATTGCTAACAATTTGATATTATATGTCTTATTCTTAATAAATATTTAAATATATTATACAAAATTAAATATAAATGTTATTTTAATATTATATACTTTAAACCTGACCTTTATTAAAAAATTATTAGAAATTAAGGTATTATATACTAAGTTTAAATATAATACTTATATTAGATCACAAATAATAATATATAGTATAATTAAATATATAGTCAAATATATTTTTTTATTTATTTATCCCATCCACTCCAAATTTTCTTTTTAGAAAATATTCTTCAAGAAAAACAAAGTCACTTTTAATTAACTAAAAACCTACAAGTTTTACAGTCCCCATCTCCCAAAGTCTAAAACAGTCACAGAAAAACAAAGGTATACCAAACATATATATTAACACTTCTTTATTTTCACTCAAATAGGGAAGACAAGTACTTGCTTGTATCCAGGAGGATACTAAGCAGGAAAAACTGATTCACAGTTAGGCCTCAGGGAGCCAAGCCCACTACCACCCCTACAGCCAGGCCAGTACCAGGTTAAATACCTTTCTTGACACTGCAGGAACCTCCAGGTGGCCAGATTTCATCCGATAAATCAGACAACCTCGTCACCATCCTAAAGGCTAGAAGGGTCTCAAAGCTCCCCATTATCTAAACAGAGTGAAAAATTTTTTAACGTATATACAATTGACAAATAAACCAAAATCAGCTCATCCCCTCCAAAATCTCGGTTACGCGAACACGTCCTTCACTTCAACAACAACAGTGTCGATAACCATTTCTAAAAATAGCATGTTTCTAAAAATAGCATGTGTCAACAAACCCAAATAACACACGTCAATAAGTCTAAATAACACGTGTCAGCAAGCCCAAATAACGTGTCAATAAGTTCAATTAACACGTGTCAGCAAGCTTAAACAACTCATGTCAACAAGTTCTAAAAATAGCACAAGTAAACTGAAACAACTCTATTCAAAGATACAAATTTAAACAACAAACAAGCAAACAAAACACGTGTTTTAAAATCAAAATGTCAAGTCAAAGCATACCTCTAAACCATATTGTCCAACAAACAATACCTCTGAAGTCTCAACATAACACAAATTTATTACTTGATATAATTTTAATAGACAGAACAAGACGATATGTGTCTATTATTTATCAAAACATGGAGAAAGAGATCATTCTTATAGAACTCTCCAGGACACACACAATTTCTATGCTCGGAAACTATCCCAACAGGTGGCTTATTCCCACAACCAACATTTCAAGACCAGATTTTCCAAATCTATCGATATTCCAGATAGAATTCTCAAGCACTAACAACAATGAAAATCTAATTACGCAAGTCTCGGTTCTCAAAGAAAAACCATTATATCTCTTGAACTAATTTCAAGATTCCTACAATTCACTCCAAAAATTTTTTGCAAATAATAAGCAAATTAGAAATGAGGTCTTTCGAAAGGTAACAGCAAGGAAGTGGAATTACTCCAAACACATTCCATGAAACATGATACAGGTTACCAAGGCCGGCACCAAGAAACAAAAATCTTTCTCACTTACAAAAGCATACCAGCTTGTCAGCACAAGTCAAGCACCCCCTCTCAAGCCAGCCATTGCAGAATCATTTTTATCTACAAGCTCTCTCACTGACGTTTAAGATCAGTCGGCTAGCTTCTTTACTGCCAATCAGAACCTACCATTATTAACAACTTCTAGCCAATTAAATCTCGGCCAATCAAAAGATCTACAAATAAATCATCCAATTCAACAGATCCAACCATCCAATCACAAGGTCCCCCCCTTACCAGAACCCCATAAAAGCGATCTTTCAATTTCTATCAACCTAAACTTTCCTATCCCAGAAGACATAGAAATGGGAAACACTGCAAGTTCTTATTTTTATCAAGAAAAAGAAAATGTCCTTAACATCCAAGTATCAATTAGCTCTATTACCTCATTTACTATCGATAATCTTCAACAATATAACAACCCTATCATCCCAATATCACGTTCCCCTTCACCTATTCATGTAAAGTCACAAAAACCTCTCCAACAATCTGAACGTAAGAATCCAGCAGCTTTTAGCAGCAGTCTCCAGGAGAAAATAGAGGCTGCTACTAATAGACTCTGGCTATATGAGAACGACCTACTATTAAAATCCTCAGGAATAGTAGATTATAATGTAACCATCAATTCAGATAATGAAGATAATAAGCTCAATTTACCGAAAAAACTTATTAGTGAACATCATCTTATTATCCAATGGCATTCAAGCTCACCACCATCAGAAATAATCCTGATGAACTTATCAGTCTCTTGCTAGATATCAATCAACGCCCAAGAGATGAAGTCAGGCAAAAGCCAAAACCAGCAATCTTCATCAAAATAGAAGCTAGGGATAGAGGCTTTCTAAGATTTAACAAGGAAACAGAATTAAAAGAAGACCATCAAAAAGAATACGAAAAACTCGAAGGATGGTTTCGAAGAATCTACAAAGGGAAACATAAAGTTGGAGAACTTAATAGAGAAGTTAGATCCAAGATTAAGTTTCTCTTAAACAATAGCTTGTTCATTGTCTACCTAAGATATATCAATATATTTGATCTCAACCCCCATCTACTTGCTCAAATCATGGAATATGGATGCAACTACCTGTGCCGCTCCAAAGAAGGCACCAAGCTAGATTATCACGAAATTCTCCAAAGATGTAAAAAAATGTTTCGCGACAATCTACCAAAGCTTCCTCCATCTCCAGAATCAGTCCCTTCTTGAATAAAGGCCAAAATTCCTCATAGAATTCCTATCCTTGACAGAAGCATGACTGCAAGTGTGGCAGGCTCTCTCCATTCAATATACAAATTTAATCTTCTACCAGACTTATACTTTGCAACTCTTCCTAATCTCCCTGATGATCCGCAAAATCTCTCCAAAAAAGTATCACACTTATTTCCAGTTAAAAGAAGAAAGGATCTCAAGAATTTGAATGACATAATTAGGGAACTTAAGAAATTCTACTTTGTCCCCAACAAGATTCCCCCTTCATACTTCAATCTTCTTTCTTTCAAAATTCCCCTTCTCTCATCACCCAATCTTCTCGAACCAAAATTTACCAAGTTCTTTCCACTTGATACATCCAAACATAGCATTAGAAAGGTGGTTAAGGAACTTCGTTCCAAATATTATTTTGAACGCCTCCCCCCCAACTTCTTTAAGCTCAAAGAACTTCTTCCCACATTTCCATCCACGATTAATAGATATACTTCTAAACTGGAAATTCAAATCCCTACTACAAATCCTCATGATACCCAATTTTTAATCAAGAATTTGAGAACGGAATACCGATTCTCACTTCCATTAGGAGTTCACTGGATAAACAAAAAAATCTCTCAAACTAATAAGCCAAAGCTACTATAGAAGCTCAGTGATATCGATCCAGATCTTAATATTAAGCAACTTTCTCGCAGCGATACTCTCCTCAAAGAAAAAATTAAGATCTTACACAAGCATTATGAATTTCAGAGAATTCCAGAAAACTGGTTCACCAATTCACAAATCCTTTTGCCAGTAAATCCACTGGAGATAAATAGAATCCTGAGAGAAAAAAGCTTAATGCCCATCAAATTTCCCTTGGTGGATAACGATACACTTCTACATTTATCTATTAATTCTGTAATTATATCAAACCTTTTCCTTTACCAGACTTCCCGAATCCCTTATTATAAAAGAGACGCTCCCCAAACCGGAGTTTGATCTTATGCCTTTCCTTTGTTAATTCCTATGTTTAACAACCAAATTATAACAAATAATCTAAATCTTAACTCATTAAACAATATCCTAACTCCTAACATTTATATGCATTTAAACACAACAACTAATACCACTTCATCTGCCAACTCCAACTTCTCTCTATCCTGTCACACCCAAACTGCAATCCCACCTTCAAACAACACCAATAACAAATCCAATCCAAACAATACTCAAGATCTAATTACTTTCACCACCATTAATACCAAAGGCCTAAATAACCATGCCAAGCTCAAAGCTCTAGCAAATCATATCGCAGATCGCACTATTCTTTTCTGCACTGAGACTAAACTTAAACAAGGAAACAATCACCTAAGAAATATTAATGGAAGGTCCATAATTTATAGAAATTCTAGCTCGTCAACAAAAAATGGTACAGCTTTTATCATAGGAAGAAGTCTTACCTCTCACGTATACAAAATTGTTAGCCATTCAGAATATTGTTTATCAGTTTTGCTCAAATTTAAAGGAAAAGTCAATATTCTTGTCTCAGCAATTTACCTACCCTATAATGTGACAGAAAGAAAAGCCGCAGTCAAGCAAGTAAACCAAACAATCAGGTCAGCTGCCATCAACAAATACCATCATGCAATTTTAGGGGACTTCAATACATACCCCAAGGACAGCCTGTCAGTTAATACTCCAACCTCTTTCATCAAACAAATACTCTATAGGCATCTATATAACTATATTGATATAGGTCACCAGCTTGATAAGAAAGCCTTCACCTTCATCACCCTCACCAGTGCCTCCCGTATCGATCAAGTTTGGCTTTCAAGGAATCTAGCCTCTAAAGTAGTTTGGTATAAAGTTCAGGAGTGCGACTTTATCCCAACAGACCATCATGTTATACATGTGGTAGAAATAGGTAGATCCTTGACGCAATTGACGCAATTATTTGACGCAATTAATTGAGTCACTATTAAAACATATAAAATAATTGAGTCAGACGCAATTATTTTTGAGGATTTTGGCAATTGAGTCAACAGCAAAATAATTTACACCACATGTATACATCATGTACTGTAGTATCAGTCAAGCTGGACTATTTTGAATTCAGAAAAACCAAGCCTATTTACAAGTTCGACATAGGAAAAACCTCTAGCAGCAACATCTCCAACTTTATCCAAGATGTGGAATCCTGGACTAGCCTCTTAAACTCTCCAAACTGGAATGAGCTTCATGATTTTATTAGAGATTCCATGAACAAATTCATCAAAAGACCAAAGTCAACATGGTTCCAAAAGACTCCCTCACCATTGCAGAGAAAAAACTTAAAAGCCAAACAAGAAAAATCAATATTACAATCTCAAAGCTCAAGAACAATCATGTTACAGCTCAGCTCCAAGGCCAAGAGCTACAGATTTTATATAAAACCGCTAATGGAAACTCGAATATTTCAATCCAAGAGTTAAGGAGGCTTAAAAAACTCTTAATCCATGAAGCAATAGCTCAAGCTCAACAAGAATCTCTTGAAGAGTTTTGGCTAAATCAAGAAAGAACAGTTGAAAATTTCTACAGTAAACCTAAGAGTTACATCAAGAAAGCTTTAGGTTCCCTAAAACCAAGAATTGATCTTTC